GAAGCGGTAGCCGAGGGGGGCGAGCTCTTGGCCCCGGCCCCGAACATCGCCCGTAGGACGGGGCGCGCACCCCGGCGTGGCTTTCCTTGGTTCGGCTTCAACAGCCCCTTTTATGCCACAAAGATGAGGGGAGTGTGTGAGTGTGTGAGTTAAACGAGACCCCTCCTGCCCTCTTGCTAAGGGCTGCCTGCACGCCGCGCCCGCTTAGGAAAAGCAGTGCCCCCCCCCGCACCCCCGGGACGGAGCGGGGGGAGAGCCGCTGGCTGTCTCGCACGAAGACGTCCAGCGAGAGGTGATGCTTGCCTAGCCCCCCCGCCCCCTCGACGGGCACACACCTCCAGGAGTGTGCTGAGGTTTTAAACACGTAAATTAAAATGTAAAGGCGGACCTTGCTTCCATGTCAGCGGGGTTTTGCCGCGGCTGCTGGCGGCGGCGGTGCCTGACTCCGAAGCTGTCACACAGATACTCACTGGCCTTCTCAAGCTTGGCGTTGCTTCACGGTTTCGCAAATCTGGTTAGTAAGAAAATATGTGAATTAATAAGAAATGGAATGACCTTTGGAGCGCTGTCATTTCTATACCTGCCTTCCTGTGATGGCTGCTGTGCTGCCTTTCTAATAATAACTTATCACATACTTTGTGTCTGAGTTAATTTCTCTGAAATCACAAACATCTTGTAATTTCTTCATGGTTACATCTTTGGGTTTTTTTACTATTGCCTTATTCATCTCGATCTTACTGACAGACATGTCTTACAAGTACTGTATGCAGATGAAATTTTATAGCAAAGTGCGCAACATATGGGGTGTGCATGTATCATGCTTCGTGAAATTTGAGTAACTCGAACCCACTTCAAGCCACAAAAATTCATAGATTCCTATGCAATTCAGGGCATAGAAAGCGTTGACTGCTCCATAAGGGACAGGGAGCTGGAGGGATTCCCCAGGGTGGCAGGGCAGGGCCCTACCAGCCAGGGCTGGTCCCACCACCCCCAGCCAGTGAACAAGGCAGGCCAGGGCACGGGGCCAGCTGGTGGCAACCCAAAGTCCAGATCAACAGGCAGGTCTGAAGTCAATCCATGGGTCAGGGTCTGGTTCAACATAAACCAGCACAGGTGGGGCTGCAGCTGAGTGAGGAACCAGTGCTCCTACTCTACTGCTGGGGCAGAGATCGGCAGCCCTGGACTGAGCTGGGGTCGAGTCCCTGGGCAGAGGCTGTGGGTGGGGGTACCAGGTGAGGCCACTCAGGACCATGATGGCCTGTGAGTCCTCTTGAGACCCCAACAGGTGAAATTACTATAACCTACTCTGATGTCGAAATCAATAGGGAGAGTTGTTAGCCTTACCGGGAAACCCTTAGTGTGGGCACAACTTGGGACAGAGGACAAGCCCCCAGGGGAAGTGAGTGTAAATCAGTATATTTTCCATGGGGCTTTTGGCTAGCAGGGCTGGGCAGACAGGTTACTGCTAGGTCAGTCTCTGCTGAAGGACAGTTGGACCCACCACCTCCCGGGCTGTGCTGGTAACAGCCACTATTGTCCTAGTGTTTCTAGTTCCCACTCCAGGCCCCCACACTATTAGTAACTTGCTAGGGACAGCATCCAGTTGCGATATCACTTGCTACGCTTGTGTCATCTCAGAACTTTAAAAATCTCCTATTGCCACCTTCTCGGGAGATCCCTGCATGGAGCTGGCGTGCCCCTGCACTGGGAGGCCTTGGCAGGCACCACAGGGCCACCGTGGTGACACCTGCCTTCTCCCGTTTACAACAGGCATATCTGCAGGGTCTCAGGGAGGTAAAGATGGTGGGAAAAGGGCAAGCAGGGGTATGTTTGCAGAGACAAGCTCCCTCTGGGCCTGACCAGCACTGATCTCTCTTCTTCATTGGGTTTGGGAGCTGGGTGTTGGGTTGGGCAGCCTGGCTTCCTCTGTACCCCACTGCCTGCCACAGCCAGACTGGGGCTGAGGCTGCAGCTCCTGGCCTGGTGGGCTACCCCTTACTGAGCATGGGTTTCAGCCAGAGCCCCAGCTGGCCCTTCAAGCGCCACCAGCTTCCATGCACCGGCATGACTAGGACGACAGACTGGAAAGGGATATGTGGTTCATTTAGCGCTGTCAAAGCCCAAAGCAGCAAACCCATCTGGGAGCCTAGGAATGGTCAAAACCACTGTCAAGGCTCCCTCCAGCCCAGAGCCCAGCAGAACTCACAATATGAACGCAAAGCGATGGAGGGGAGCATGCTGTGCGCGCCCTGCCTGCCCCTCCAGCCACCCTGCCCTGCAGCAGCCACCTTCCACCCTGCTGCTCCCCAAAACACACATTTCCCTGCAGCTGCAAGCACCCTGGGTGGGAGGGGGGACTCCAGCGCAGGAGCAGCGCACCCCATCCCTCCCAGCCTCCCTGGGCACTTCTGGGTGAGCACTTGGTTGTGGCACAAAGAGCTGACAAGAATGGCAGTCCCCACCAGTTCCCATTTTGCCCTTTTCGCTGAGTCCACCTCCGCTCACGTGCAGGTGAGGAGGCTGGTTTGCCTCAGGAAAAAATTGCCGCTCTAGGTTTCTCCCTAAAATGGGCTAGGAAGAAGTGTAAGTTGCCCTTCCCTGTTTGGCTAAGCTTCCAAGTGTGCTGCAAAAGACTTTCCTTACAGCTCTTGTTCTCAGTTCCTGCAGCCCCATGTGCTTGCGACAGACCCCTGACGTCCTACAGCCTGTTCTTGCAGGGAAACTTCCCAGTGGCCTTGAAAATCCTCAACAGTCCATCAGCAAAGCCCTTTGAGTATAACACTATGGTTCAACAAGGACCTCAGCAACCTTCCTTCTTCGGATACCATTTTTCTATTCTACCTTCTTTCCAATTTTGTCTACACAAACCCAGAAATTAGTCATGTTCCCACAAAAAAAAAAAGGGGTGGGGGCCAAAAAAAGCGCTACATTTTTCATAAGTTGTGTGAGTTTTGACAGATGAAAATATTACTTCTTTCCAGCTCATATTGAAAGCATTGGAAAATGGACATTAGGCACTTCTGTTCATCTGCTAGTGAGGCGGGGTTTTTTTCTTTTTTTCTTTATAACGGTATAGTGTCCATGGATATTTGTTTGCCATATATTTGGTTTGCAGAGCAGATATATACTCACTATAAATAACTATATAAACCAAAACCAATAATCTCTAAAAAACCCCCATGTTCTCATGAGGAATCATACAACAGTTCAAATGGTTTGAAATATTGAAAACATCTTTTAATTGTAGAATTCTATACAAACTTGGGCAGATACAGAGGTGGTCACAACAAAATGTGTTCTTATTGCCTGAAATTTTTCACAGAAATAGAAACATTGATGGCAAGCTTACTGACACCCAACATGATGAGATATCTTTAAACTTGCAAAATGAATAGACACAACAACACTCCTAAGTAGTTTGTATGTGTTTGGCTGTCCTTGAAGTCCTACTACTTATATACCAGCCTCAAAATACAAAGAACCAAGATTAAAATTTTCAATACACATCACATAATAATGTAAAATTAAGCACAAAAAAAAAGTGAACAAACTGTAATCCTGAAAATACACTATATTTTTACCTAGGGCACTGACTTACTTCAAGAATGATTTCCTGTATAGCTGTGTTTTAAGAGAGGCACACATTTTGTTTTCAGCACAGGACATCGATATCTGATGGAGATACAAGAACGAATGGTAACAAACAAAAGGGAAAGAAATGTAATCACAAGTGGAACTTGAACTCCATGCCAGTGTTCTTGCAGCCCTAAGCAAAGCTATACATTAAAATATGCTACAACCATTGTTCTCAAAAAGTCCTTGGCACTTTTCCTCTGATAATCTTACTTTCAGTTTTTAAAAAAACGGACCAAATTACATTTCTGCACCTATATCATAAGGCAAAACTATAAATGCAACTACAAGGACAAGTTACCAAAAAAACCCCAAGCCAAAGATAACCCCCACCCTCAGGCCATCGCCCTAGAACACGAAACACTTGGTGAAATAATATCATCCTTCCTCTTCATCACTGTCTTTCATAGTAATGCCCTGAAGTCCTCCTGCATCCGTGACCGAGACTGTGGCCTCCTCTACGGTCAGACGGCTGTGAACGGTATCGTAGGTTTTACTGTTCAGCGTTCCCTCCAGCACGCCTTGCAATCTGAAGTCTCGGTAGGTTTTCTGCAGCAAAAATAAAACATCCTGAATTGGACTCGAGAAAGTCTGAGCAGTCTTCCACTATACACTGTCCATTTCTAGCATGCCATCAGAACAGCTTCGTTGCTCCCGCAGTTAGGGACCTATCATCTAGAGTTTGCTAAAGATTTTGAGGTCTTACAGTGTCTGGGCTGCATGAGACCTCTAGAGAGTCCACAAGCCACACTTTGATGGTCATTCCTTTAAGAGATTGTGTTTTGTACTACATTTCTATAACCATATGCTGACTTCTCAGTAACTTCAATTTGTCTCATTCAGTCAATTAAAAAAACCACGGACTTTTTCTAACTGCATATTGAAATGTGAATTTGGCTAAAGGTATTTCTGTCATTTCACAGAAAATGTAAACATCTGACTCCCCATAATATGATTTTAATTGCATTTATCTTTACATTTATATGGCAAATGTGGAAAAAGAAAATAAATTTTAGATTATGATCTATATTCTATAATGTGAATGTTTCTCAGGTGACTGCTTCAGTCAATCCTCGTTCTAAGTCATCCACATTTTGACTCAAATCCACATCTCTTTTTTTTTTTTTTTTTTTCACTTGAGAAAGTTTTGTTTCCCTGGTATCCAGCCTTCCTATGAACCAGCAGATAGGACTTTTTCCTTTGACTTTCTGTCAAGTAAGATTTATGAGTGAAATTGTTTTATTCATCGATGTTATGTTCCTGTGAACATATGGAAAATCATCTACTCTTGTCTTCCTTATTTTTAAATTGTAACATATTTGAAATAACCTTTCCCAAAGTTAGCCTAAAAAGCTTAAGAAGGACAAGTCGATCTGGTCAGTTTCTTATTTTGTGTGCACCATTACTATGAGTTCCCAATGTTTATGAAAGAGACCACGTAACAAAGAAAATGGAACATAATTAAGGGCTATCAGGCCCATTCCTCTGCCAGAGGAGATGGTGCACAGCCCTTAGAGAAAGAAAGGAGAAAAGAGCTGATCTTGTTTCACTCAATAGTTCAGAGAACTGCAAAAGACACCTCTCAAAATGGGTAACATTCGTCTGGGAGAATTTTTTCTGCCACTATCTATGATGATTATTTAAACCTTGTCTGAATCACTGCAACTGAGATTTATTTGACTTTCATAGGTCAACTTCAGAGTCAATGGATGCAGCTTATGTTTTGCTCACACACTCCTGCGAGTACCTTGCCTGGTCTTTTTCAAGTGTCACCATTGCATTCCCTTTTTATAATAACACTGTGCATTCAATTTCCTTTTATGCTGTTAACAGGTCCTACAGCAATTTCTTTCAGTTTTACATTGTATTCCTCCCACTCTCAGACCAGCACTCTGGGGTTCAGTCATTGCTCTTCTCTTGACATACTTTTGCAGGATAACAATGTTCACTTCCAAGCTTAATTTTTCATTTCTCCCTAACTTTCGTTTTGGTCCTTGACCCTTCTTTAGTCACGTCCCTCTGCACGTGTCTCAGACACCTAACAATATCTTTATGCTATCATTCCTCAGTCTTGGCTTTAATGGGAACAAGCAATGTTTTCTTCTTCTGGTCATTCTTAATAATGCCAATACCTTTGCTACATCCAAACACAAAATTTCCAAACATCCGTTTCTCACTCATCTCATGTCCCTAAAAATTACATCCTACTTATTTTTTGGAATATTTCCAGGAGATGACAGGGGCAACACAGGCTCCCCATTTTTCCAAAAGCAAACAGGAAAGTGCTTCCATTCACTCTAGAGTTTGGAGGAACTATGCCTTCCCATGTGCATCTCCCCAGCTGGGCTGCAGCATTGAAAGCTTCTTATGATACTCTGCTTGAACCACCGTTTCTTATTTCCCAGCAACCTCCTGTTTGCTGAGGTCCTGTTTTACCAGTTCTGTCTTCTTTACCCACCAAAACACAGGTGGGCAAGATTTTCTGTCTTCCAGTACACTGACTAGAACCTCTATGATTGACATCACCTTCAACCTTCTGTATCCACAGAAGGTGCCATGGAATAACATACTTGGAACTTATGTGCAAAGCAAACCAGGTGTATGGGCACAGAAAGGTCATGGCCATAACCAGTGTGTTCCCACCGGTACTGGGAGCCTACTTCTTTTGAACAAGGCTGATCCCTGTGCCAGGCTGCAGAAGGAAGGCTGGCTGACAGCGCTGCTCATTCACCTAAACTTCAGTTTTGTAAGAGTGTCCTCCTTTAATCTCCCAGGTGATATTTAACTGATATAATTTAGCCTGCCCATTCTTAGATCTCACTGGGCGCAGGTTTTAGATCCTGTAACACTTCCCTCACCCCCTGAGGATGGTAACTACCTTCACTTGAGAAGAGCTTTAAACCTCTCACAAGAGCCATTCATTTCAACAACAAACAGCAAACTGCTTCTGCCATTTTGGCACATAATATAATGAAGAGCCAAATCCTGTTCCCAGAGAAATCAGTTAAGGTCAGAAATAGCAAAGCTAAGCTTGGGTGGTTCAGGGAGCCATAATGCCATCATTATTATGACTGTTTCCTTGCATCTGTGTTTCTTCCCTTTCAGCTCATGAATCCTGAAAGGTGCACTTGCAGTCTTAGTGTTAAATCCTAGAGTTAAAATGCTTCTGGCTTTGCATTCTTGCACGAACTTCATGAGAAAACATTTTTAAGAAATCAGGGTCACCATTGACAACAGGTGCTTCTTATTCCACACATACAGATAACAAGAATGTTCAGAGTTAAACAAGACAGGATTAAAAGGAAAAAAACCCTGAAATGGCTTTCTGTCTCTTGCCTAAGTCTATTAACTAAGAGCTGAAAGGGATTTAGGAGGAAACATTCTTTCATTGTAGGATAACCCATAATTGCCTATTACAAGTTATTTTACACTTCGCTCGGAAGCATTTGACATTGGCCTGTGTAAATGACTGAGGACCGGACTGGAAGGATTGGTATTTCTATTGATACTTATCCCGGAGTATGAAAGATTAGAAAATGTACCTAATATATTGAATATTGTACCTAATATATTGAATATTGTTTTTCAATTGAACCTAGTAATCATATGCACGTAAAAAAGAAAATAGTTACTTTTTAGGACAGTGGGAAAGATGGAGAACTCTATTGGGATATTAAGGTAAAACAAATATGACAAACAATAATTTACTAGGAATACCATACAGCATTGCTGTACAGCTAGCAGTAATCTGTTAAAATTCCTTAGAACAATCTTAATTGGTACTGAGTCCAGAATGGATGACAATTCCTAAGGCACATATAATTAACATTAGAAGTTTTAATAAACTGTTTTTCCTCTGAAATTTCCTGCAACTGTGAAAAAAACCCTAAAACTATGTAAGTTCGCAACTTCACCTCACATTTTTTAACTTTCAGGGTGATCTATACTTATCCATGTTAACACTTTATCATTTTTCTCTCTTTACTATGCAGTCTAACACAAACACACTTTATTTACCTTCACTATCTTGATGAGAGTCTTCAACTGGTAGATGTGAAGCTGAAGGTCTAATCTATCAGCCAGCCACATGCATATGACTTTCATGGAGCTGCTATACCATTGCTGAAAAGAAGGAGAAAAAAACCAAACCGCTAAACAACCCTGCAGTATTCATTTAACAGATTTGATAATGAGAGGTAATGAAACACTTTGAAATGATCACAGATCAGCACTTGAAGTCAACAACGATATAATTTCCTGTTAAGAGAACTGCATGGGTCAGTAGGAAATCAAATAACTTGACCTAGACCGTTCTTTACATGAATTAGCAACTGCCATTTTATCTTTCAGTTACAATGTTTTCAAGCAAAATAGCGTTATGCACTTTGCTTACTGTCAGTAAGAATGGATATTAAATACACAATTACATGAAAGATTTGACAGCTAAAACAGAAAGGGAAAAAACAGATAGGGTATCTTGAGAGAATCTGCAATATCTAGATTTTCCAATCCAAAGAGGAAAACAGCATCAAACACAGAATATGGAATCTGTCTTGTTTTTTCCTTTTAAATCATTTCTGTAAGTAAAAAAAATTTCAGAAATCCATGGAAACCATATTTAAGTATGATGAAAATACCACTCCACCCCTCCCAAAGTAACCGTGTTAAGGTTTTGTTTTACGCTAATCACTAATTATAATTACAGCCTACCTTATTTCCTTTTTATGTCTTAGGCATGGGCATGTTTTCACTCAAAGCTTCACAAACGGATGGGGTAAGAACAAGCTTTCTGCTGTTGGTGTCTATGTTACCGTAAAAAAATGCTCACATCCAAATAGCTACTATAATAGTTCTTTCACATTAACTGGATTAAAAGAGATTTTACTGAACATAGTTGTAGCAGTTGTCCCCCCGCCCCGTAAAATACCAAGCAGATGTCATTTAGTCAAACTGTAAAAAGGAAGGGATTTTTTTTTTTTCATTTTAGCAGTGAGAGATTAAATGAGTTCGTGTCGTAGCTCTGTTTCTAGTCCCTTTCCCCACAGGGAAGAGGCTTAAATTCTTTTCTAATGTAATTTCCTGTGTCTTTACAAAATACACAGATATTCAAAGAAAGGAAACACTGTGCATATTTTAAAATGCAGCGTGTTAGGCAAGGTATATATGTCCTGAAGTAATTCAAAGCAAGGATCTAACACGTCTCATTAGCCACCTCTACAATACAAATAAAACAAAATATATATTGAAATAAAGAAGAAAAATCACTGGCTACTGGGTGTAACAAAAGACAAATAAAATTCTTTCATCAAAATGTAAGCTCTCTGGAAAAAGCTTTAAAGACCTACAGTAAATCTATGCAAATACTTTTTCTTACAAACAGTCTCATCTCATTGTAACTATCAGTTTTAAGATAAGTTTGAAACAAGACTTTCATTCAATAATGTCTTTCATTTATTTTGTGTAATGTGTTAACATGTATTTTAATTATAAATCATTGGGAATAAATTACTTGTACAATTTTAGTTTCTCCTATTAATTTACTATTCTACAGAAGTGAAAAACACACCGCACAAAATGCAGATAGCTGCACATTTCATAAAAGTAGTTTGATTTATGCAATAAAATGTGGGACAGATTTGGTATTCCTAAAATACTGGTTTTTTAATCACTGAATGATGTTCTTGTACTATTATTTACATTATTTCACCCCAAACATGCATGCTGGTTTTGATTTTCTTTCTAAGTACCTATAAAATGTGTTTTTTGTACCTGTTTAATGTGACAGAGTTGTTACTAAGTAGCATCTGTAAACTATATGACAGGTGGTGTATGTATACAGATGTCTAGAAATAAAATACAGTTGAGCTTATTCACTTGGGGAACTCTACTGATCTAATAAATATAAAAATTCATATGCCAAGCATTCTACCCAGATTATCTATCGTTATTTGCTGTAAGATGAGCCCAACTATTACACTATCACTCAGACTCTACATTTGTTAAAGTTTAACATAATCATACTAAAGAGAGTGATTTTAGCAGTGGAGTTTTCCCAAAACTCAAAAAAACCCCAGTAACACATCCACGACGTACTTGGTTTGCATCAAGCAGAACGCAGAAGGGGCTTGAGCTTGTTCACATGAAGAAACTACAGACAGTATTGAAAATTCTGTGATGGGTTTCCTCGTGAAACACCACTGAATGGTGCCAGATCACCGAGAACAGACCCAGTCCCAGTTTTCTGGCAAAACATGTGTTTTAAAGCCCAGGCGGATAACTTAATTAAGATGGATGCTGTAAAAATTAGACTCTCCATCCATATCTGTGATATGCTTACACGCACTGAAAACAAAGCTACGAAATTGGAGGGAATTAATTTTGCTACTCACGTTTGTGAATGAAAACAATATAATACGTTTTTCTGACGAGTTCTGATACATTAAACTTTCAGAAAAAATGTTTGATTTGGCGACTGTGAAATGATACTATGGTACTTGCTCCTCTGTCAATGTACCTTGTTCAGAAAAATGATGACTGTTATCATAGTAGAAAAAGATGTATTCTTAATTTGAATTGTTACAGTATTTTTAATAAAAATCACATCCAGCATATTTTTAGTCTTCTTAGAGGTGGACTTGTGGATAGGATTCCTGTTCACTATTGACCTTATGCCCACTAGTTTTGAGCACTTTGTATAGGCTGAAGCTGCATAAACATAAATCTGCTGGACTTCATAAGAAGAATAAATATTTCCCTATAGATTCTTTTGGAGCCTGTTAAAATGCACAGCACTGCAAATGCCTCTCAGAGGTGGAATCCAAGGCCACACATTTTGACAACCATGAGCATGTTATAGAGGCAGGGATGCATCTACTGTGACTTATGGGAATCTATTGCAAACTCAAGAGCTTCAGCGATTAGACAACAGTCCTGAGATTACAGAGTTTTAAAGCAGTAATAATAATAATAATAATAATAATAATAAAAACCCAATTCCTTCTGGCTGGTTTTAAGAAAAAGTCAGTTTCCTTCTAGTAACAATAGCACTGAAAGGACAATGCGACTCTCGCAGATGTCAATTATATGGTATTAGTGCTGTATTCTTTGCTGTCATCTATGCAAGAATAAAGCAGTAAGTGTTTATTATATACTTTTTTCACATCAGCACATAACAGCAGCTAACCACTTTAAGAAAAATATGTTTGCCTCCCTGTTTCCCCCCCTCCTCTTATTCTTAGCTCATCCAGCTCCTGTAAGGGCATGCATTACTCACTTCATTTTCCTGAGATACCTCTTTTAAAGTAAAAAATAAGAGAAAAGGAAAGGCTAGGCTTGACTCTGTGAGACCCCTGTATTTATTCACACTTATTGTGCATGACTGTAGACTGGTAAATCATATTAGCAGCCCGTCTCCCCATCAAGCTGCTACTTGCTTTCCAGCCCTGGGAAGGTTCAACAAATCAACAGGAGCACGGAAAACAGAACATCAGTCTAATCTAGTGTTTAAGGTGAAGTTTTCAAACCCAATCTAAGAAGATCTTTAGAGCAAGCAACAAGCTGAAGGGCTCAGAAGGTGGTATTGACAATGAAGGAGTGTTGAAATATTGAGAAGCGCAGCACTTGTGCATTTTTAATAACAAGAGGGTCAACAAGGACACAGCTCCCTCAGTGCCAATAGTTGCCACACCAGGGCTATAAACGCTCTCAGTTCATCAGATTTCTTAAACAGTTCATCAGCTTTCTTAAACACCCTAAACCCCCTCAGCGGACCTTTAGTCTTAAATTAACAAACCAAAGCAATGAAAGAGGGTGCAGCTTGAATGGCCAGCATTGATCCCCAACGGGGCTCGGCGCGGCTACAGGCACTGAAAAACTCGCTCCATTGTCGGGAGGAATTGACAAACCTCCTCGCCTAAATAGTCCAGCTGAGGCGGGCTGGAGGCACGCAGCTGTAAAGGGCTCCCCGCGCCCCGCTCCCAGCGCTCACAATGCACCAGGCATGAGCTCTTTGTCAGGCCCAGACTCTGCAATTTTCTAACAAGGATTAAAGTTGTTTCTCGGCAGGGCCAGTGAAAAGCGATTTAGCAACATACCGTGCTTTCTTCAGGCAAGTTAAAGAGAAGTAGTTAAGGAATTTCATTATTCTGTTGACCAATGGAAATACAAAACAAATATATTAAATATTCACCATCTTTCTGGGTGCCTGAGCTATAACATTCGCAGAACAGTTCAATTAAATATAACACTTATCGGCTGAAAGCAAGCACTTCAGATTTATTTTTGAAGTTTTATAAAAAGGTGCAGCTGTTTGCCACCTGGAAGGAGGCTCAATACATACTAATACACAATGCTTTAGTCCTTCTAGGGCTGGTATCCCTAACGCTTGAGACACAAGACCCCGTCGAGTTTCTGTATCCTGCCTGCTCTTGATAAATGGGCACTGTCAAAATGCTTTTTCTGCTGAATATGGCAAGGGGAACAGCTTTTCTAGGAAACGCATTTTATCTTCCTACGGAAGCCTTTATCATGCTATTGATCAGGAATTGAGTCGCTCAGACGACAACGGGATGGTTTTACTTCCTCCAGCTCTACTTTTCCTACCAGGAACAACACAACAAGTGTTTGTCTCACTGAAGAGATTGTACATCAAAGGCAGCATAAGCTAAAATGCGTAAGAAATACTATAAGCAGGTTAATTATTAAGTGCTAAACTGCCTAGTTTCTATTAAAAGGCAATGCTATTATATTGTTTCAAGATTTTGGTAGCTAGCGCTACCAGTGTGCCAAGAACTTTTAGAACATTTAAAAAAATGTTAAATGACAAAAAAGAAGTTATTGCTTAAAACCGCAAACAGTAAAAGTTAGAAAAAAATTCCTGATTTGTTTCATAATTTGTTTCCCTCTTCGTAAAATAGGAATAATCATACTGACCTCCTTTGTTGAATATTAATGATAATGAGGGAACCAAGTGTTACTTGCAGTGTCCTTGAAAATACTCTGAGGTTTAGAAGTTATGGCTGTATTTTCAAGTTTAAGTGCAGACATCATCCACCTAAATGAGGATATTCTGCCTGAGCAGAGAAGAGTTCATGGACTCTTGTGAAGGCTGGAAAGCCTTGGTA